GTGAGCTTTCTGTAGGCAGGAACTTTTTACAGGCAGTGGCAGGTTTTTACAAAATGGAGTTGCTTCTTGTCCTCTCAAGCCCAAGAGCTGGAGGTTGCTGTGAGCTGTGATGCCGCAGTACTCTACCAAGGGTCACACAATGAGACTCTGTCTCAAAAAAAAAAAAAAAAATAAAGAGATTAGTGGGTGTCAGGTCTCAGGGATATTAAAAAGGGGTTCTGAGTGTAATTATAGAGTTAACAGAGAGGAGTTCTTTGCAGTGACAGAATAGTTCTGTATCTTCAGTTATTAACATAACTGGCAGGAGAAATAAATTTATAGAAATAATCTATAGCACTGTGGGGTAAATACAATGAACAATAATTTAGTGTGTATTTTTGAAAGGCTAGAAGAGAGAATTAAACAACACAAAGAAATGACCCATATTTAAGATGTTTGTATATACTAATTATCCTGATTTGATCTTACACATTTTATACATATATCAAACTATCACTCTGTATCCTGTAAATGTATACAATTATTGCATGTCAACTAAAAATAGAAGGGAAAAAGCAGCTCTGTATCTCGTTTGGGTGGTGGTTATAGTAATGCACACTCCCACAGGATGGCCCAGAACGCCTGGGCACATACTGCATTGATGTCAGTTCCCTGGTTTTGACACTGTACTGTACTCCTGTAAGATGCCACAGGCAAAAACTGGATGAAGTGTGTGTGGAACCCCTCTGCATCATTTTTATAACCTCTTTGAATCTGTAACTATTTCCAAATCAAAGATTTAAAAATATTAATGTAGAGAGTCTGAAAAATTATACAGCAAACACTCATGTAACCTACCGTCATGTCAGAATCCCTGTATGCCTCTTCACAATCATAAGCCCCTACTCCTCCCAAAGGAAACCAGATGAGAGCTTTTAGTAATTCTGAGGAGGAAGCTGCCACTCAGCAGGAGTGGTGGACACATTCTCATTCAGGCCATGTAATCGTGATTAATGCAAACTCTACAAGTCACACTCTTGTCTGTGTAAAATGGAGACTTAGAAAGACACATGCCTCCACAAATCCTTAGGGAAATGCAAATCAAAACCACAATGAAAAACAAAAGATGACAAGCCTTGGTGAGGATGCGGAGCAAGAGAACACTTATGCACTGTTGCTGGTGATGTAAATTAGCATGATTACTACAGAAATTAGTATGGCGTTTCCTTGAAAACCCCCAAAATAGAACTACCTACCATATGATCCAACAATCCCACTTCTGAGTATATATCCAATGAATTTGCATTCAGAATCTCTGAGATAGGTACATTCCCACATTTATTGTAGCATTATTCACAATCCCAAGATATAGAAAGAGTTGAAATGTCCATCAGTGGATGATGGATAAAGAAAATGGGCTGTAGGGTGGAGCCTGTGGCTCACTGAGTAGGGCGCCAGCCCCATATACCAAGGGTGGTGGGTTCAAAC